GGGTGCAGGGGAGGTGGGGTGATGGGTGGTGAACCCTCCCTTATCTGAACCACCCCCCTGCCTTGAGAGACAGGGAGGGTGGATTTAGAATGTGGAACAGCTCAGGAATGGGCCCTTCAGCCAGCAATGTTGTGCCAAACATGATGTCATGAGCCAAATAGCGAAGCTCAGGGGTGGGGGGAGTCTAAAACTAGAGGGGCAAAGGTTTAGGGTGAGAGGGGGAAATGGACCTGAGGGGTAACTTTTTCATGCAGAGGGTGGTGCATGTATGGAATGAGCTGCCAGAGGAAGTGGTGGAGGCTGGTACAATTACAACATTTAAAAGGCATCTGGATGGGTACATGGATGGGAAGGGTTTAGAGGGTTATGGGCCAAATGCTAGCAAATGGGACTGGATTAATTTACAATATCTGGTTTGGCACGGACGAGTTGTACCGAAAGATCTGTCTCTATGTTGTACAATGCTACAACTCTCTGCATTAAACTAATCCTTACTGCCTGCCCTTGGTCCATATCCCTTCATTCCTTGCATATTCATGTGTTTATCTAAAAGTCTCTTAAACGTCCCTATCGTATCTGCTTCCACCACCACTCCTGGCAGTGCATTCCAGACACCTACCACTCTGTGTAAAAAAAAAACTTGCCCCTCACCTCGCCATTGAACTTCCCCCTCTCACCTTAAATGCATTCCTCCCCCCACCCCACCCAGTATTAGACATTTCAACTCTGGGGAAAGGATTCTGACTGTCAACCCGATCTATGCATCTCATAATGTTGTAAACTTCTATCAAGTCTCCCCTCAGCCTCCACTGCTCCAGAGAAAACAACCTGAGTTTTTCTAGAGCCTCCTTAAAGCTCATACCCTCTAATCCCGGCAGCATCCCAGCAAACTTCTTCTGTACTCTCTCTTATTTGTCAATGTGACATTGGCCAGCAGTTGTCCCCGGTTCACCCCCCCGCCAACTTTAATTCCAAGCTATATCCCCCTCATCCAATAGGGTTGTTATTGTAGCCAGTGGACATTGCAGAGGGACGGAGGATAGAGGAACGGGGAAGGAGGGGAGTGGTTTGTGAGGCCACTCTAGCTCTCTCTGCCATTCCATTTGAATCTGGCCAATGGTTCCCCCAGGAGGACACTCCCTCCTCCTCTCTTCGATATCTCTCTTGATCTCAGAGACTGAGTTTTGGGGCCACATATCTAAGCAAAGATAGACCTACATTGGAGGCAGTCTGGAGAAAGTTCACTCAGCTGATCCCAGGGATGGAGGGACTGCCCTACGAGGAGAGGTTGAGTCAGCTGTGCCCGTACCTGTTGGAGTTTAGGAGAACGAGAGGCGACCTTATTGAAACAGAAAAGGGGGGGACCTGACGGGAGATGTGGAGAGATCGTTTACCCCCTTGTGTGGGAGAGTCTAGGACCAGAGGGGGCATCATCTCAGAGTAAGGGGATCGCCCATTGAAGACAGAGATGGGGAGCAATTTCTTCCCTCTGAGGGGAGTGAGTCTGTGGAATTCTTTACCACAGAGGGCTGTCGGGGCTGTGTTGTTCAGGGCTGATATTTTTAATCAGGAAGGGGAATCAAGTGGTTATATTCAAGGCTGATATTTTTAATCAGGAAGGGGGAATCGAGGGGTTATATATAATCATAGAATCCCTACAGTGTGGAAACAAGGCCAAACAAGTCCACACCGACCCTCAGAGCATCCTACCCAGACCCATTCCCCTATAAATCCACCTAATAAACACACCGCTGAACACTATAGGCAATTTAGCATGACCAATCCACCTAGCCCGCACATCTTTGGGAGGAACCCGGAGGAAACCCACACAGACACGGGGAGAATGTGCAAACTGCACACAGTCACCTGAGGGTGGAATCGAACCAGGGTCCCTGGCGCTGTGAGGCAACAGTGCTAACCACCATGCCGCCTTAATATTTGAGACTGAGAGATTTTTAATCAGGAAGGGAAATCAATGGTTATGGGGATAAAGGCAGGAAAGTGGAGTTGAGGAAGATCAGATAAAAGTGATGTAAGGTGTGTGATTTATTGATGATTTAACATGATTTGTTTTAGAGTTTGAGTTTGAACACATGGCACATCTGTTTATTGTGTGCCTGAATAGGTTGAATGATCAAGTTGAATATCTGTAGCCATGGTGATTTAGAAAAAACAACATGAGAAAGACAGAGTTCCTGGTGTGTCATGAGGTTCGGTTTTCTCTGGGATTGGTGAGTGAGCAACATAAACTTGAAGCTCTCAGTTTAGAAGATTCTGGAAATCATGTTTTATTTTTAAACACTGAAAGCTTGAAGTAAGCAATTGCGTTTCAGTTCAGGTAGTTTTGTAGGGTGAAGCTTGAGGTAGGGTAAAACAATCTCTCCTGAGAAAGGGGGTTTTTAACCTTTTAGAAATAAGTTAGCTCCATGAAAGGAGGTTATTTTGAGAGCTCCAGACCCGAAGTGTTTGGATAAAGCCTTGAAGGGGCTCTTTGAAGCTCAGAAAGTCTAAGCTCAGTTTTATGATGGCTGAAGGAAGGGACTATCGGGTTCCTGTGACCAGGGTTTGAAACAAAAGCCAAATCAAAACCTTTGTGAGATGCAAATTCTGTCAGGAATTTGAGTGTCATAATTAGGATCATATTTTACTGGGTGTTGCAAAATTTTGAAAAGTGTATACAGACAAATGGTTTGGATTTTCTCAGTTAATTTCATATCTGTTACATAATAAACTTCAGCTCTATTGCGCAAACCAAATCTACAATTTCTGTTTCAGCAGAAAACCAGTTCAGTATAAACGTTAAAAAAAAGGTCTATCAAGCTACATTTCAGCCTGGGATTGAAATATCCACAAGGTCCCATTGACTGCCAGAGCAGACATGAAGGGCCAGATGGCTGACTCCTGCTCCTACATCTTATGGTCTAATTTGCAAGGCAGGATGACAGGCAGAACCCCCACACCCAGTCCACAATGTTCCTCCTTTAATTAACCCCCAAGTACAACAATTGGTGACTTAGCTTCACGTAGTCAAGGTTGTGGCTCTGGGGAATGTTGACACGTCAGTCTGCATTACAACAGCCAAGAGATGTCAACATTGGAAATGTTCAGCAGGCAGGGAGAACACATCCTCAGCAAATCCAGCCCCCTACACCCTTCTCCCTTTCTCTGTCACCTCCTCCAGCCCCTACACCCCCTCTCTATCTCTGTCACCTCATCCAGCCCCCTACACACCCCTCCTATCTCTGTCACCTTCTCCAGCCCCTACACCCCCTCCCTATCTCTGTCACCTCCTGCAGCCCCCTACAACCGCTCCCTATCTCTGTCACCTCCTACAGCTCCCTACACTCCCTGCCTCAGTTCTGACTGAGAGCAATCAGTCCCGAACAGACCTGAAGCCATGACAACTCCAAGTGACCCTTCCCTGAGCTTATAACAACTAACCTCTAACAGATCGTCAAATGTGACTATTCGCAATTATACACTAACTGGCCCTGTGCTCTGATTAATTGTAAATAATCCTGAAGTGGTTCACAACGTTGGCCAGCAGCGTTGTACTATGAGTGACCCCAAGCTGTGAAACTGATGACCGTCAGTGTCTAACTGACCCCATTAAAGGCAATTTTCTTTAAACCCACCTGAACTGGTGACTAAAAGCTCTTGTGCTCTAGCTGAACTGTCACTGAAGCAATTAGCCTCAAGCTGACGTTCTGCCAAGACAAATGCCAGTTAACCTCTGATGGGCAGTGGTTGGCATGACCAGGTATCCAGCTTCTGAACGAGCCCCGGGCTCCCACAAATTGTCTCTGACCGACCCGCCCCACCTTCATTCCCGTGACCACCCAGCATTGCGTTCCTTTGCCAGATCTCCACATTCTGCACGTGCTGTGCGACTGCATCTATCGGGAGCAGCGGACCATCATAACGTGGGAGGATGCTTATGACGGTGCAACCATAATGTACTACGACCTGGCGAACAAGAGCTTCGTAGCGACACAGCCTTTCGCGCAGGGACAGGCAGACAGACGCAATTCAAACGGAGACTTTGTTCAGTCCGTCCCTCAGCAGATTGGCAGTCTGTGTGAGAAAATTAAGCAAACGGCAATCTTAACACACGTCAGCCAGCGGCAAATAGGTAGGACTTTTCTTTTTCTCTTATTTAAAAAAAAATCAGAGCAGTGACACTTCCCAAAGTACAGAGCAAGGGGATTGGGCGAGGAAAGACTGGGATGCCAGATCGGAGCGGGGAGGTTGTTTACAAGGAGTCAGTAGCAACACACACTTCTCTGACCACCTTCAACACCCCCTCCCTCCGCCATCGGCACCCAGCGGCGGTTGGGTTTATTAGGAATGCTCGGCTGAGCTCCAACACTCGCCGTCTCCACCACCGATGCACAGCGTTGGCTGGGCTTATTAGGAATGCTCAGCTGAGCTCCACATCTCTCTCTCCCTCCATCATCAATGCACAGAAGCAGCTGGGCTTATTAGGAATGCTCGGCTGGGCTCCACATCTCTCTCTGCCTCCACCACCAATGCACCGAAGGAGCTGGGCTTATTAGGAATGCTCAGCTGAGCTCCAATATTCCCTCTCTCCACCACCAATGAACAGAAGCAGCTGGGCTTATTAGGAATGCTCAGCTGAGCTCCAATACTCCCTCTCTCCACAACTGAGGCACAGCGCCAGCTGGACTCATTAGGAGTGGTCGGCCGAGCTCCAACACTGTACTGGGTCAAATTCCCTGACCCTAACCCTGTGACTAATGACAATTAACCCCTAACTGACCCTATCCCATAATTAATAGCAATCCTTGAACTGACCCAAAGTTGTAAGTAAAAGTAATGGTCCTCTAACTGACCTGCTGCAGTGGGAGATGGACCCACAACAGCGCAGGCCTAGACTGCCTGTATGGGGGAGGGTTTGGAGATAGAGCAGGGTCCTGAGGTCAGTGAAAGGCAGGGGAAGGGTGGCTGTTCAGCTGTTTGGGCGTCACTTTGCAAAGAGCTGGAGTTTCTGACGACTCTAACCTCCGATCCCATGCCACGTCTGGGTCCACAGCCCCCACGTCCGTCAGAGCCTTTATGGAGGAGCGGACCGGGCAGAGGTCGTTGCTGTGTGAGGTGAGAAATTTTTTCCCAGCGGATGTTACAGTGAGCTGGCTGAGAGACGGCGTGGTCATTGCTGACAGTTCGGAGATGGTGAGGGTCGTGCCTCAGAGGGACCAGACGTACCAGGCCTGGAGCCGTCTCACGCTGAGGGGCGACGTGGGCGGTTCGTATTTCTGCCAAGTGGAGCATCAGGCCCTCACCGGGAAACTCCTCGTCCCGCTTGGTAAGATCCCAAGGAATGGCAGTCCCTGTCCCCCGTTTACCTAGGCCTTTTGCCCACACTGCGCCGAATCTCCGCACTAAACCCAAATATTTACACGCTCAACAAACACGCCATCGTGGGGCACGCAGGCATCGCTGGGAAGGCCAGCATTTAAAATCCCATATGGGATTTTAACCACAATCTGGGGTCTCGAAGTCGGGGGCAGGGTGCTTTTTTCTTGTTAATTCACTGTGTTAAATCTCCCCCATCCACCTGCCAGGGTGGGATTTGAACCCGTGACCCCCGCCTGGAGAGGGGTGGGGTGGGTGGGTTGGTGGGGACAGGGGATCTGTGTCCCAGGGATATTCCCACGAGCGGTGTTGTGGGAAGTGGGGAGGGGAAATGTTCTGGGGGTTGGGGTTCCTGTGCGGGTGTCACAAACACCAAGTAAATTTTAACCCCCTCTCCTCCCCCACCCCCCACTCTTTGACTGCCCCCTTTCCTCAGAAAGTGACCAGACCATCACTAGTGAAGCAGCATTGACCATCATCGGGGCAGTGCTGGGCCTCCTGGGATTGAGCTTCGCACTGGTCGCTGCCATTCTCTACTGCCGCTTCTTCAATCGTAAGCAACGATGAAATGTTCCCTTGGGATACAGGAGCGGAGAGAAAGAGAGGGGAGAGAATGGGAGCGAGAGAGAGAGAGAGAATGGGAGAGAGAGAGAATGGGAGAGAGAGAGAGAATGGGAGAGAGAGAGAGAATGGGAAAGAGAGAGAATGGGAGAGAGATGGGAAAAGGTAGTGAAACAGACAGAGAGAGGGAGGGAGAGAGATGGGGAGAGAGAGAGAGAGCGATGGGGAAAGGTAGCGGAACAGACAGAGGGAGGGAGAGAGATGGGGAGAGGGAGAGAGAGAGACGGGGAGAGGGAGGAAGAGAGATGGGGAGAGGGAGAGAGAGAGAGAATGGAAGAGAGAGAGAATGGGAGAGAGAGAGAGAGAATGGGCGAGAGAGAGAATGGGGGAGAGAGAGAGAATGGGAGAGAGAGAGATAGGGAGAGGTAGTGAAACAGACAGAGAGAGGGAGGGAGAGAGAGATGGGGAGAGGGAGAGAGAGAGACAGGGAGAGGGAGGAAGAGAGATGGGGAAAGGGAGAGAGAGATGGGGAGAGAGAGAGAGACAGAGATGGGGAGAGATAGGAAGAGAGATAGGGAGAGAGAGAGACGGGGAGAGGGAGGAAGAGAGATAGGGAGAGAGAGAGACGGGGAGAGGGAGGAAGAGA